ATCAGCTGTCTTTAAGATTCTCAGAAGAGGGAAATTGGTACTAAAATTGCCAAAAAAATAAATAAATAAAAAATGTTACTGTGTGATCTAGGCATTACAATAGTGATGCTTGATTACTCAAATAAAAGGATATATCTTGCAGTAAAACTACTCTTAAAGGTATATTGCTTCCAAAAGTTGCTTACTAAGTAAATTTAACTGAGTAAATCTAACTGGCTGCTGCCCACCTCTGATGACACAGTGTGAAAAAGTGCATGAACGCTATCTTATGTTTCAGAGCGATACCTGAGGAGGTGATCAAAGGTTACTGGCATGATGAGACGCAGTCATAATGAGTGGGACTTCAGCGTTTTGTCGAGGGCTGCAGAAAAAGGCAGCTCTCTTTCATTTCCTGTTTCGTGAGATGACAAATATTGATATTGGTCTCTGAGCGCTATCAGCATGAAACAGGGGCTGTCAGAAAAAAACACCTGTACCGAAGCATGACTCTGTTCCCCACCTTTCAGTTTCTAGGTGTGGGGGTGATGGGCACACAGAAGTCATAAGCAGCGTGTTGGTGAATGCATCTCTTTCTGTTTCTTAGTCACACATGCCACACATGCGCACACACACATCCACAAAAAGGGAGCATCATCACCTGCCACAGACTATATACTGTGGCCCGTGACAGTGGTTAACAAAACGGGACATGTGTAGCCCCAGGTGACTCAAACTGCAAAACTAACAACGCCATGCTTCAATGCACCAAGAATTCGGTGTGAAACACCAGCAGAAAGGTTTTGTGTTTGTGTGTCAATGCTCATGTGTGTCTGTAGGTGTGCGTGTTAATGGTTATGCATTTGTGTCACAAGAGATTCATCCTACATTTGCGATGTCGCAATTAGGATGGACTTCATTTGGGATTCTCAAAGCAGCCTGCAGGGATAAACAAATAGGTTAGCTTGGCTAGGCTGAAATAGTAATATTATTGCTGCTGTAGAGTGTAACTCTACTGAGCTATCCCTGCATCAGTGTAAACTGTTGACCGTATGTAGCTGTTAAAGCAAAAAAAAAAAAAAAAAAAACTCTTTTTCCTTTAGATTTATGCTACAAATGCTTCTGCTTACAGAGAATGTCACACAAAGCATCCAGGAAGTAACAGCATCGTTAACATGTTTTCACATTTTGTTGTCTTAGGACTTTTTTCCATAAGGACTTACAATCATATTCCCCCCTCATATTCGAACACAGAACACCTCATAATGACACATGCACAAAAAAATGCACACACACACACACACACA